GCTCCATGTGCCGTGTTCGGTTTCCCGTATCGCTAATGCGAAGCGGGCTCCGGTGTTCTGTCGAACGAGTGCTCCCCGGCCGCGGCTGCCTCGTCCGTTTCGTCTTCCCGCCGTCGCGGGTGTCCGATAGATTGGGGGCGTGTATGCCGTAGACACCGACAAGAAAGTCTCAGGAGTAACATCGTGAGAGAGACAGACACATGCCCACTCTGAGCCGTCATCCTGTGTCCCTGTTGCCGTGCCTGCGGCCGAGTGGCGCGGAGCTCTTGTGTGTTTTGTGGGAATTGCGTTGCGGGCTGCCGAGGGCGGACTTCCGTGTCTGCCTCCCGGGGGCGGCCCAAGTATGGTGTTGCAGTTTCCCACCCTCCGGAGCTGAAGGCTCGGGTGTTTGGGGGTTTTCCCGCGGGAGAATTGGGACTCGTGCCCGCTGTTGTTTGGCGATGAGGTCATTTCTTGGTGGAGGGAGATGGTGGACGGGAGAAGGGGAGGTGGATGAGGGCTTCCGTAAGTGCTTGCGTGAGGGTTGTCGTGGAATGCTACCGTGAGCGGCACGATACAGGTTCTAGACCGTCGTGTTCGGATGGTTTCTCTGGGCGGTTGTGACGATCTTTTTGCTTCCCCTCGTTTGCCCCTTGTTTGGTTGCGTTGTCCAGTAGGATGTTGTTGGTTGCCCCTGTGTATGTGATGGACCATCCGATGTTGAGGGTTGGCGCCGGTTCGTCGTTTCGACGATGGTGTGATCGAGGTGCAGAGCCTGAGATGATCAAGTTGGATTTGGGCGCCTGCTGTTGACGTCTGTCAAGTTGATGTGGACGATTGGAAGCTTCCGTGACAGCCGGTGTTCTATTTGGAGGCTTGGTGGGTGTTCACTGTAGCTATCTTCTGTGAGACAATTTGCACTCAAAGATCAGTAGTAGTCATCTGAATCATCTGTGAGAATTCCAGGCATCGGAAAGTGAGCCTATAGATCAAACGAAGTACTTCGTTGTCGTCAAGTGTGCGAGTAGGTTACCTAGTTGATTATACGAAAGTTGTATTCAATGTTAGGAAGTTGATTCCATGCTCGAATATCATTCATTCAATCCTTTCCTAGCAATATGACAGCCTTTGTGTGTATTAAACGAGACTGCCCATTTTCCCTGTGCTAGAACGACTAGTTTTATATACTGATAACTGGTATTCGTCGTTGTGACCACTACCGTTATTATTGTCGTTACTTCTAGTCCTTTTACTCCTTCAACTATTGTAATTAGTTCGAGGAACTCCGTACATAGGAGATATAGTTACTCTAGCACAGGAAGAATAGACGGTCTCTATAAATCCATGTTTCCTCATTGTTTCTGTCGACATTCAAGTCTCTGTTGGTTAGTCCCACGTACACGAAGACCATCATCCAGTTTGCGAGCCCTCAAGAGAAAGGCACCTTCATGTGCGACATATGGTAGTAGAAGTCAATATTTAGAGCAATGAAGTTTGTGCCTGCCACGCGATTCTGTTGCAAACCACGTGTTTCTCCAGACTCGCCACAACATGATCCTCAACGACCGTTGACGAGCCCCTCAGATACAAAGATATGGCAACATAACTGACATTCATATCACGGGTATACCTGTCTGTGTTCTTTTTATCTCTTTCCTGTTTTGTAAACCAGTCGGCCGTTTTGAGCGAAGTTGCTTGTACTATTAATTTGTGATGTTTCGTTTATACGCTCCTATATCTATTTACGATCCCCAAATGCGGCACTAGCCTATTACTCCACGTCGAGCATGTCAAAGTGTTGGACAAAAAGCTAGGAACAGTCTTAGGAGCTTTGACCAGTTATTTACCTGTCGCATAGGCCAGTGGTCGATATAAGCAAGGCCTATGATGGCAAGGTCGTCAGGATCTTGCATGCCGTCATAGTATACACGAGGTTGAACTATCGCGCCAGATGAACCTTGAGTATAGTCAAGAAAACTTGCACAAAAGAAAGATCTGGGCTTAAGTTTTAGTCCAATATGCAGATGGTTTTCTCCAGTCAAGGTTGTGGTTCAAAAACGCCAACTTTCGCTTCCGGTGCCCAGCCTGCCACTCCCACAGCCCCTGAGACGTCTTTGGACGGCTTCGCCACACGTAGTTCAGATAGATGAGCTTACCCATAGTAACAAGGCTTAGGTCGAGAATACACGCCAGGCAAAGTTGAGTTGGGTCGACTGATGCTGTATCAACTTGATACCCCTTCGCCAACGTACCCGTCCACCTCACCACGTTGAAGCTAGCGTTGGACAGGCAGGGGCAACGAATGACATCCAGAAGCAGCCTCTCTTGTTAACTCTCATCGTAAGGATCTAGCTTGCTCCTTCTGGCCTTCTCGGTGCGTGGTAGGCAACCATCAGACGGGAGCTTCGCCCCTTTCGGCCCCCATTCTACCAGAAACAACACCTCGAAACACGCACGACGAAGGCTACTCCATGATACATCGCCTTCGGACAACCCAGAACAACGTCTAGGCCGCCCTGATGATCTTCAGGGAACTCCCGCAGACGTTTCTATCAGCCTGGGTCTCCCCCAGCAGGTCGCCCCTGAGAGCTGCGTCCGACCATGACCCGGAAAGGGGGGGGGAGGGGGAAGAGGGGACCGAAAACATGGAAAAGAGTTTCCGAATTTGGGACGATAATAACACGCTGTGCCGGCTTTTGCCACGATGATCTTCAGGGCCGGTCCCATTGACATGTCGCCGGTCTGGGTCGTCCCATTGTGGCTGCCTTGTCCCACTGAACGCGGTCACCGGAGGTTGTTGATTGATAGAAACACGCCAGAAGATGAAACCGAGGACGAGGTGTAGGTTAGGTTCGAAGATTCGGACGATGGCAAGGGATGTCGAGCTATGTTGCCTGTCACTGACAGCTTGACACGTCTCTTGTAGAACGGGCTGCGCGTTGAAGCTTACGCCGGAAAGCGTCACTAAGGAGGTCAAACGTTGCTTCGGAGGGAGTAAAGACTTCGCCTGTGGGATGGGCAATTGTATTTATTCGATGCAATGGCATGACAAAGTGTTGGGCGAGGCAGGAGAAGGGGCGTAGAGGAAGAAGAATCCGAGGCACGACATATAGCAAGGTACAGAAATGGAAAGGAGACGAAGCAATCCTAATAGACATGGAGAAAAAGGAATCATTGTCTCTTAGAGCCCATGAAGCCATGGACTAGAATTTGCTTGATACTCGTATATCGACGCAGAGAAGCCCCTGAATTGGCAATGAAAGATTTGTAATGCTCCAGTCAATATGTCACGCCTCGGACAGCAAGGGATGGCGATGTTAAGAAGTTAATTGAGCCGACAGTGAACAAAACAGTCTCCCAGCTTTACTCCACACGAAGCCGACGTATCCCAGTTACCAACACCGTAAGAGACCAACTTTTGGTACCCAGTCTAGTAGTCGTAGAAACCCTTTCCACTCTTCTTGCCAAGCCAGCCTGCATCGACCATCTTGCGCAGAAGCACGCTTGGGCGGTACTTGGAGTCGCCAGTCTCCTCGTACAGCACCTTCATAATAGCAAGGCAGGTGTCCAGACCGATGAAGTCAGCAAGCTGAAGGGGACCCATTGGCACGTTGGTTCCGTTCTTCATGATGGCGTCGATGGAGTCTCTGTCGCCGACGTTGGTCTCCAAGCAGATGACCGCCTCGTTGATGTAAGGCATAAGAATGCGGTTGGCGAGGAAACCCGGAGAGTCAGCAGAGACGGAGGTGACCTTGCCCATGGCCTTGCAGAAAGCGACGGCCTTGTCCAGAGTCTCCTGGCTCGTCTGCAGGCCGCTGATAATTTCGACGCCCTTCTGGATCGGGACGGGGTTCATGAAATGAGTAGAGACGACGCGGGAGCTGGCGGAAGTGTCCGTGGGGTCCTTTGTCGTCGACGCCGCGATGCGGGTGATGGAAATAGAGGAGGTGTTGGTGGCCAGGATGGCATGCTTGGGGCAGACCTCAGCCAGCTTGGAGAAGATCTCAAACTTGAGGTTGGGGATCTCAGGAACAGCCTCAATGACAAAGTCTACATCTGAAAGCTGGTCGATTGAAGTGGCCGGGGAGAGCAAAGAGCGCGCCTGGTCAGCTTGCTCCTGGGTGATTCTAGATTTGGACACGTCCTTGGCAAGGAGCTTCTCTGGTGGCTAGTCAGCGAGGAGTTTCTGTGGATGGACATCCTGCGGGCTCACCGGCAAAGCCCAAACCCTTATCAAGAGCTGCCTTGTTTGCATCTACGAGGGTGACGGGGACTTGGGCTTTTTGTGCGGCCACAAGAGCAATGCCCAGACCCTGAGTGAAGCCAGTTAGCAACTCGATCGTGAGTTTCACATGTCAACTAGGTCCCTCATACCATCTGTCCAGCACCAATAACACCCAATCTCTTGACTCCTCCCGTCGCAGAAGCGACCCTTGGAGTCGAGCTGAAAGCACGAATCTGGCCAGGCAGCTTGGCTGCGAATCGTACGCGAGCAATTGCAGTCGCCATGGTTATCGAGATGGGGAAGACGTCAGAGGACAGGGATCAGTGGGTTTGAGGAGTCGACAAGAACAGGTCGGTTGAAGACGACTGACGGCCAATTTCTCAACAAAACTTGATCCTGAAAGTCAACTTGTAGATTGGGCCTTTCAGAAGCCAATGTTTGTTTTGATAGTTGAGTAGGAAAGGCGATCGGACGTCTGAGAGAGAGTACGTCGATGATGATCCAAGACGATGAAGCTCAAGGCCCTCGGCTAACCTCGGCCTCGGTCATTGGCGCTAAGGCAAGGTACGCCTCAGCCACGACTATCTTATCTAATCTTATCGCAGCACTAGCCACGATAAACGTGGGGCTAGTTTGAGTGTCTGCCAAATTGGAACGCGCTTTGTACGCGTCGAGCGCGTCTTGGTGTCGAATCTATTTGGCTCTACACTCGCGGTCGACCGGGCGTTGCGCATGGGTTCAACATCACAACCAACGTCAATTCAGCCCTCACCGTGAGCTCTCCAATTCCAGCAAGATGGAGATGCCAGACGGGACGACCGATGTCGTCCATCCCGAAGTTCGGGCACACATCAACAGTCTCGTTTCGGCTGTAAGTGGAAAAGCCGTCCAATTCCCTGTTCAGCCGCTGACGATGCGATAGCTTGGTGGAACGGGATCGTCCGAAGATGGATCATACAGACTCGGTGACGACGCTACCGAAGTCCTTCGCGACCTCAAGAAATGGATTCGATTTTACGACGAGAAGACGAACCGCATGGATGTCGCCCGCTGCATCTCGGAAGCAAACCTCGTTGAGGGCGATCTCCTCCCGATTCTCGCGGGGTGGCCTGAGAGTGCCACCGACAACAAATTTAGGGCGCGAATTGCTCTTGCATGTATCGAGATGCTGGTGCCCATCACCTGGCCCTTGGAAAAAGACCCCGAGCGAATGACCAACAACCACCACCGACACATGCCTGTCCTCGAACTCGCCCAATTGGGCTACAAGCGAGCAATCATCAACTACGACGCAGCTCAGATCCTCCATACCGCAGTCCGCGTCGCTCTCCCAGCAATGGCCACTCCGATTGGCGACCGTACACCCCGCGATCAGGGCATCATCAAGCTTGCCCTTTTCTTTCTGCGTAACATCGCCATGATTGCCCCATCGCCAGGCATCAAGTTCGACGGCGACGAAACCATGATATCCCGTTCCACGACGATCGACGCATTCTCCTTTCAGGACATCTTCATGGTTCTTCTGATGTTTGCATCAAATATGGGGGAGGACTTCAGGACTGAGGATGTCACTGTGATGGAAATCATCTTCCACTTGGTCAAGCAGGTTGACGTCAAGAAGCTGTTCATGGACGAACAGCAATTGAACAAGACCAAGGCTAAGGAGCTATCGGTGATGATGAGCAAAGAGAACGCTATGCGCAATTCGTACAACAAAAAGGCACCGACACGTCACAATCGGTTCGGCACCATGGTTTGGATGCAGCGCGAAGACGGAAAGGTATCTACGCTCGTTGGCCAAGACGCGCTCGCAGATGCTGCAACTCGGCAGCAGAAGCTTGACGAGTCGAAGAAATTCCGACCGCCGCGGAGGTCGAAGAAGGAGGAGACCGATGCCAAAGACATGGGCGCTCCCGTGAAGCTTAATGCGAGAGCCAACAAGCAGCTTCGGACTTTTGTCGAGGACTTTCTCGATGCAGGCTTCAACCCTCTTTTTGAGCATGTCCGCAAGTCTCTGGAACGAGAGGCGTCACACGTTCTCGGCTACCACCGAAGACAGTTCTTTTATCTAGTCGCATGGTTTTTGGAGGCTGAAAGGGCTCGCAGGAAATCAAAACGTGACGCAAAGAAGCCGAATGCTCCTGACGAGGTTAGCAGTTTCAACCTCGTTGCCGGAGTGCTGCACCAAGAAATGTTCATCATTCTGATCAAGACCATGCACGACTCCTGGGAACACAAGGAGTGGCCGACATTGACAGCCGCGTTCCGGTGCTTCACCCAGATTCTTCTCACAGTTCAGGAAATGTCCGAATCTGGAAATGAAGATGACGAGGAGATTGCCGAGAACATTCTCAGCCGTCTCTTCTACGAAGACTCTACACACGACTTGATTGCCAACGTCGTCAGGCAATACAAGGACCAGGGCTTCGAATATCTCGACTCTGCCACAGAACTCACACATCACTTCTTGCGCATCCTAGAGGCGTACTCGAAGCAAAATGTTGACATGCAGGTCCGATCTCGTAAGCGTACAAGGAAGAAGAAGAAGGCGGCTGAGGATGCTGCTGGCGTAGAAGGTGCAGGAGACGAGGGAGACGAGTCCGCTAATGACGAAGCCAATGCGGAGCGTGAGTCAAAAGAGCGTAAGTTCGACTTCCACCGATTCACATCCAGATTCACGCCTCAGGGAGTCGTCGATACATTCGTCGCCTTCACCAAATACTACCGAGATCTCGATGATGCTCAACTCAAGCGTGCTCATCGCTACTTTTACCGTCTCGCGTTCAAACAAGAGATGAGCGTCATGTTGTTCCGCGTTGACATCATCCATCTCTTCCATGGCATGATCAAGGGCCCGGAACCTCTCAACAAGAGCTCCGGAATGTACAAGGAGTGGGAAGAACTCTCTAAGCAGATCATCCGAAAGTGCATCAAGAAGATCGATGAGCGGCCAGAGCTTATCATTGAGATGCTCTTCTCCAAGATCAACAGCACGGCTCACTACCTCGAGTTCGGCTATGAGAAGCAGACGATCTCTCTGTCGCACGCAAAACCCGCCGCAGAACTCGAATTCAAGTACACGGAAGACAGGGAGCAGCAGATTGCTATCGTCGTTGGCGTCTTGCTTGACAAGAACCAAGCTGATCACATCGCTTGGGTCAAGAAAACGCTCGAGACAGTCGAAAGCGAACGCCGTGCCTGGGCAGCAGCAAACGAGATCATACCGTCGGTTGAAGGCACTGATATGCTGCCGGAGAGTGGCGCACCTAACGACCAGGCCCTGCCTGATGTCTTCAGTGAGTTACATGTCTTCCCAGCGCCGCGCATGAACTTGCTAACGTCCTTTAGCTGTACGTCCGGATGACGACTCTCGCAAGACGGCAATGTTCAAGAACTCCCACTTGCGTCTTCTTATGAAACTGGTTGGTATGGAAAGGCTTGCCCCAATGCTTGATGAGACATCACAGTCTCTTTGGGTACTGCCTCCTCCTGTCACCGCGGACCACTTGCGTGAGAGCCTCGAGTTCATCAACAAGGCTGAATTTAGTCCGCCAACCTTTGACGATGGTCGGTCCGCCGAAGATCAGCTTCGGCGCAAGAAGGCGCCACGAAAACGCGTGGAGTATGATGACGATGACGACGACGACATGTTCGATGACGGCCCGCTGTTCGAGCCCCTTGGCCCGACAGTTCACAAAGCGATCGACGCGCCTGCCAAGAAGACGAAGAAGAGACGCCGCAGAAAGGCGACCGAGGACGAGGAGGCGCCCAATGACTCGGAACTCGAAGAAAAGGCCAGGAAACGCCGGGACCGTGAGAGGGAGAAGATGAGAAAGATCAAGAGTGAAGCGTATGTGCGCGCTAGCGATGACGAGACGGACGAGGAGTACGATCGCGAGTTCTTCATTCGTGAAGAGGCTCAGAGGTCGCGCGTAGCCAAGGTTGCGGAAAAGGTGGTCGCAGAGGTTTCCCAGACCACAAAGCGGGCAGCTGCGATGCAGCTAGATGACAGCGATGACAACGACGATGACGTCCTGGCCATTACAAGAGGCACGCCACAGTCAACTAGGCCCAGCGCTGATGTGGAAATGGACGATGGAAGTGGGGAGGAGGACAACCACACTCCGCTGACGTCGAGTCCGGGTTCGTCGCAAAGTAAGAATGGAAGGAAACGGAGAAAGCTGTCTCCAGAGGCTTCTGCCACGGCAGAGGCTGATAAGGAAAAGGGGGCGGACGCTGATACTGAAGATGATGATGTTCCGGCGACCGCGGCGAGGTCAAGGAAACGTACTAGGGGCGGTTTTGTAATGGATAGCAGTGACGAGGAATAAATAGCCTGGCTGGATTTAGGCGTTTGGATTGTCGGGTCATGGGATTCGGAAGACCTAGATGCATAGTGTAGGCGGTATAATGTTGATAACACGATTTACGGTTGCTTTGTTGTGGCTGCATGTGAGATTGTCTTCTGCGAAGTGATTGGTCTTGAGTCTCAAGTAACAAGAGTCGATAATACTTAACAAAGCTGCGATGGTCAGTTACGCCGTGTCTTGCAAGACTTCCTCGGTCGCCTTTGCGACTCAGCACGTAGTAGACAATGGCACAGGGCAGAGGTTTTGGCTCTCAAGGAGAGGTCTCGGCCGAATGTTTGCTTCGAGAGATCTCTAATGAAATCACGCGCCTTGTTTCTAAGGCGAGGAACTTCTCATGGGCTTGCCTGGACTCACCGATATTTTGCTGGGAGGGGCCGAAACATTTGGTCTGTCACTTAGCCCCTGAGTTGCCAAGGCAATGTATGCCGCCACGACAAATCCTCCAACTAGCCGTGACTTTTGTTCCCACACAAAGATGAAGTGCTAATGGATTCTGCCAGAGTGTGAGTCTAAGTCAGCCAACCATTACAGTCGATTTCCCGTGCGCAAGCCCTAACCAGGCACGGGATTCTGTACCAAGGCCAGGCTGCAAAGGCCATCATCTTTCACGCACCGCGACCGCTTTGTACATCAACTCCGGCACACCGAGGCGGCTCTGCCATGCCCTGGACAATAGTCGTGGGCCGGGGGCCCCGGTCGAGTGGCGGCAGTGGACGCGTCCGGGAACGTCGACGTGCAGGCCCTCGTAAAGAGAACGAATGGATGCCGACGGCCCAGAGAGCTCATGGGAAACGTGCACTCCTACAGACGCAACATCGATATTCTGTCAGCCGTTGGAGGGGCGCGGCTCGCCGGGGAACTCAGGTTTCTGCTTCCGCGGGAGGGGCAAGGGCTGGGGGAGCCGGGGAGGGTGGTGGCCAACGGGTGGACTACCCGGACTGTCGGTTGTGAGAGTCACTGTCATGATCAACGGTTCTGGTCTGTGTGTCTGATGGAACCTCTCGCTTCGGATTGCCAGGGTAAGACGGAACTGGACCGCACGTAAGGTATGGGCTGCGCAGCTGGGAGGTTCTGCCCACACCTTATCATGCCGAGGGCGTTAGAGGCCGCGGCCCACGTCAAGTCTGTTAACATGCCTTTCAAGTGTATGGTCTTCCCCGAAAATAAGATTTATTTTCTTCTAGTCTTCGTTGGTCTCGTAGCTTAGTTACGAGTAGCATCCCCCATAATAATGTCTACAACGATTACTACCGCCAACGCTTTCTCATGTTCCAACCAGAAACGCGAAGACTAGTAGGAGACGACGAGTTGTCTGAGACCCTATTGCCGTGCAAATATGTTCCGTCACGAGAATCCGCTGGTGCTGACTATCCTCACTCGGCGGCCCGATGGGTGCTCGGTAGGACTACTGTGGCTTTGGCTTAGGTTGGGTTGGTCTAGTTGATTTGTCTCCGGTGTAGATCTGGCTGGGTTTCGAAGAGGAACAGCCTTGTGGTTTTCTGCAGTTGCCATCAGTCAGTTTCAAAGAGTTCCACGAGGCCACCAAAGCAGTCGTTCATGCTCACAGTTGTCTCTCAAGCTCGGTGGTGAAAGACATGGTATTCGTCGCAAAGTCGCGCCGAGCAAAGTACAAGACGCGTGACAGTCAGTGGTTTGAATAGGCAAGAAGTCGCAGTCGGAGGCCTGTCGGGGGACAGAAGATTGCATCGCTGTCCAGCTCACGATACTGAGGGGGTTGGAAGGGGGCGTATTTATAGGAAACCAGAGTCAATTTTGCTACCATCGTAGTTCTATTCTTCAGTTGTGTGCCCTAGAAGAAGGAAGCAAGGTCTGTCTGCCACGTATGCGTGATCAGACATGGCAGAGATCCCGACAGCTGACGATGTTCAAACTTGAGGCTAGCTAGTCCTCGCTTCTCCTTGCTACCATGCGGCCGTCGATGCAGCCGAGTACGTTCGAGGGCACGATGCGGCGTTTCCTAGGCACTGTGCCGCAAGACAAGTCAGTGAACAAGCCTAGGGGCGTATCAAATGTGCAAAACACCAGCGGAAGCACGAAGTCGGGCGTGGTGGTTGGTTCGTGGGGAGCCGGGGAAGAAGGCGTCCCGCGTCACCTACCCCGGCACTTTCCTCACCCATGAATACCACACCTCAGAACAGAGCGATAACTTCGCATAGGAGCTCAAGGGGACTTGGGGGCTCAGGTATCCTCCCCCGGCTGTGGTGCCGGGGCGGCACGGTCCTCATGTGCCGCGTCTAATGAACTCCCTCGCCAGCAGGGGAAGGGGGGCTTGCGGTGGCGTTCCGGGCCTGGTCGCTTGAGATTGCAACGTGTGTGCCCGTAGTGCGTTGGCGGTGAACACAGCCAGGAGCACAGTTTTGGTGTCATACAGGGACCCTTCTGTAAAGCTCCTTCGCTGGGAGACCAGCCCTGTTCCTCTGCAGCTGTCACGCGATTCTGTTGACGCGTTGGCGTTGGCGTTGGTCTTCCCGACGCGTGCGCCGGCCTGCGATCGAAGACATCCAGCTTCAGCATGCAATGCGTGATTGACTGCTAGAATCGAAGGAGTCCTGGTTGTCTACCGTGAACGACAGGCTGGGGTGGTCTGTCCTGGTTCGGTCAAGGTGAGCGACCCAGCGAATCAATCCATGTGTGCTTGGGACCAACGAAACCGGTGACAGGGGAAGATAATCCCCCTCACCTGGGGCTGAAGAGGTGGTTAGATCTGCATGGCTGCTGCCGTCGCCGGAAGCCCCCTTCCCTCCCACCAAGCTTTCATTTGCCCATCCAATTCCATGGACAGATCCACGCCGTCTGCGTGGAGTTTGGGCCCTGCGACAGACATAGAGCCATTAAATCTACCGTCGCCCATTGAAGTTTGCGCTGGCAAAATTACGACCCTGGATGAAGCAGGGACTACACCGATCTGCCATCAGGTCTTGGCGGTAATGGTTGCGAACCGACGATAGCGACAAATCTCTCCGACTCAACCGCGTAACCGTGCCGTTCGATTACGGACATTGGAAATGCGCTCGCCACACCGAGGCTATCACCCGGAGTAGTTTCGTTTCCTTTCACAGGCTCAGCAAGCGGTACAGCATGGCAACGAGCATAGCTATGGCGGATGTTTGAGATGTTTGAGAATTGCGGGCAGAATGGTGTACGGCGAAGATGTTTCTGGATCAACAGAAACCACTAGCAAACACGTCAGAGGATAAGTCTGCAAAAATTGGAAGGAAAATACCGATCAAAGTCATTCATGCGGAAGAATAGACAGATGTCGTTGCCTTTAGGTGACCCCATAAGGCTGATGTATGTCATCAAGGGACGGCTCGCAAGCCAGCCGTCTCACATGTTCAGGGGGAAGTAGATCCGATTCTGCGCGAATCCCAGAGACGGGAGCTGACTAGACCAACCAGTGTCGAACTCATGGGCGACTAAACCATAAATAGGAACACCATACGTTGCACAGGCTTTCCCGCTGCACAAGTCCATCTAATGCCAGTTTTTCCCGGTCGTAGGCATATGCATACATATGTGCGCTCGTATCGGGTGGGCGTCCCCGGTTTCCACTATGGAGGTTGCATTATTGATCTGGATATGAGCCTTTTTGTGTGGCTCGCGCCTTAACCGCGCGTATTAGAAAGCGTCTGGCATGGCATGGGTTGACACCACTCGCAATTCCCACCTTACCCCCAGGGGACACAGTCCGAGATGGCCGCGTCATGCGAAAGACGTGGAGAGACTTGCCAAATTGAATTGATATGGCGAGTCAAACACACTCCTTTGGTCCGATACATACGCCATCTGCATCTTTCAAGGTTTTCATGTTCTTCATTTGTATTGTAAACTTCTCTTTGCGAGATCACAGCATGTTCTGCTGCGGCGTTTCTCCTGAATCGAGTGTCGGTTGCACAGCATGGTCAAACAGTAGCCCCCCTTTGTTTTCATGATCAAAAGCGCGACAATGATGATATGGGGAAGATCCAGAACTTGTACGATGGGATCCATCGCGGGGCCGGCTCGGTGGACCGGTCCGGACTCGCTCATCCAACAATAAGACCCTCCCAGATCCCCTTTTCATTCCCATTTCTTTTCAAAATCGTTGACTCTCAATCTCAAATGCATCCGAAATAGCTCGTAACAGATCCTGGGGGGCCGCTGGTCGCTGCTCTGCTGTCGCGAAGAGAAGTGTGGCGTTACCCCCGCAGTACTGGCAGAGAGCCAGTCTGGCAGTACCTCCAATGCCTCCCCGTACTTCAGGTCATGTCGACCGGACCGATCAAACCAATGATGATGTGTGTACTCAGTCTTCCTCAGCCTGGTTTTCTTCACTTCTTCCACAGGATACCGGGCCGATCCTTCTTGGATTGCCGACTCCTTGCGACCCGAGCTGATAGGGCGCTATCCCACTTTCTTGCGGCCCGATAGAGGCTGAGAAGATTGGCAACTGCACCACGAAGAGAGCGGTGAGAGTCTGAAATTCCCTAAATGTCTCTGAGTGAAGATCTATATTCGTCATCGTCGCCGGCGGGTACATCTCGGTACTAATCTGTGCACACCCGCTGGCTGTCTCGACCTACTAGACCTGTGAGCGTACTTCTCCAGTGTTGGAACTCTGCTCTCAAGCAGCACATTCAAACCTTCTTCAACATCATGTGAACTCGGTCAGCTTCTCCTGCGTCTTCTTTACGCCCGAAATCATCACGAAGGCGACGAATCGGTCAGCAGATCAGCACACCATCGCTCACCGCAACAGAGCATCTTCAACCAAGTATTCCAAGAGCAGGCAGACAACTCACCATATCAGGGCGCCTAAGATCTACCTTTACCCATCATATTCTGTCTCCCTACACCACCTCATAACGTGGGGTCCAAATAGAGGGACCGCCGACCAACATCGCCATTTTGTTGGCAATGTTGGCAAGGCTGGAGCACCCAACTCGTTCCACGCCGACATGACGATCTGGACGCTCCCACTTCTGGCCTTCGTCTATAAAATGGAGTCCTCAGTCATCCAATTTTGCGAAGTCTTGAAATGAAAATCAGGCGAACACAATACATTTCTCATCATGACAACTACGCTATCTACTGATGTCGAAGCCGGCCACGGCGAGAACGTCGTCCCCACAACGACATCTACTCCTCCCACGAACCTGAACATCAGGTCTATCCTTCATAAATGGGGCTTGTATCCACAGACCGCTGCTACTTCACAACGTGCGTGTCCCACTATTACTGACGCCGGTTGACCTGACTGACACAGCAAGCGACGGATCCGGTAGACCCCTCGAGTGTCCGATCCGCAGACTACGTCTATAGTTACGACAGTGAGCACAAGTACCAGAGCAACCTCGGCTCGTACAGGTCTAACATGCATGAAGTCAATCGGTACCCCGAAGGCTGGGCACGCCTAGCCGCCGAGCAAGAGGGATTCGAGAACACTGCGATCCACCGAAAGTTCGGCTATCTATTGCAACGATGTCTTCTAGACTCCCACTACAGACTTGCAGTCTTGGCAAGGAGACTGTTCGAGTTGGACCATCAAAAGGCTAGTACCAGAGCGCCAGATGATCTCACAGAGAACACACCGACCGCAGAAGATCTAGAGGGCGGTCTAGCTGCCGAGCAAGTCCTGGCGGAACAAGCCTCACTTCTCAGCAAGGAGCAAGACCACAGCCTCCCAGAGAAGATATCTCAACTCCTGCAGGAGATATGGCCTCTTCTGAACAACCACCGTAAAGTGTTCCAGAAGCTGCAAAATTGACAGGGCGACTCTGACTGATGACACCAGACCAGATGATGTTCAACGAGAGGACGCTGCGATCGCTCCACGAAGTACGAGAGCCCGAGTTCTGGAACCGATGTTACAAGATTAAAGATGACGGTTACCTGAACGAGGAAGAAATGGAGTATCTGAGTCATCCGAACGATTTCGTCAGTACGGCGACGGATCCGCTATGGCGGACGATCACAGGATGGATGCACTTGCTGCCGAAGTGGCTTGTGTTGGTAAGCTGTCAAGAACGGAAGAGTGCATCGGTGGGCACTTGGCTAACTTCTCCTGTCTCCACATTTACTCTTCAAGGACAATAGCACGGAGGAGCAGAAGTTTGCGGCTCCTCTAGTGACGGGACACATGGAGATTTTCTGCAAAGGACTTGCCATACTGGTCTACGCAGTCGTCCTATTGTTGCCGGTCATAATTCTCTACATCTTCCCAGGCATCAGCACAGCAGGCGCCGTATGTCTCCTGACTAGCTTCACCCTCCTGTTCATGGCTATGATGTTTAGTCACCAAGGGGCCACCATGCTGGTCGTACTCGTGGGGTCTTTAGCTTATGCTGCCGTCCTCGTCGCGTTTCTGGCCAATCTTCAAGAGTAAGCCACGGCGAGCCTGATACGGAACCAAGGTGAGGCTTCAAGCTAGCATCCCTTAACTGAGGATATCGATAAGACTGCACTATAGTCGTGTGGATGTTCTGGGTGGGCAGAACGAGGCTGTCGATCGAACCAGGTGCCAGAGCGAGATGTGGTGGCTACAGCGGATGAAGTAGTCGTGTGTGTGATTGATGCGCGCGTGTTATGTTGACTGATGATAGAAACGAAGCTGCTAGGTTGTGTCTTGATATGTTTTTGTTAACTCGTGTTTTTCAACGGTTTTAAGTACTTGCAATTCAAACAACAAGCAGTAACTACAAAAGATTCACCCAGCCCAATCCCACGTGATGTGAATACTTCTTCATAACAATCAATAGTACCAATCTCGACCCTGCGAATTTGCAAGAGAGCGGGGCTGTTCTGTGCATCACAGTTTGGAAGTAGAGTCGACGAAACCAAAGTGAGAAATTATGTATCATAATTAAACCTCCGTAGCAAGTGAGGAAATCGACCTTTTATCTAGGCAAATCCAATCGCTTCCTTCTATCGTGTTCATCGTCTTCATGACCGCGAAGCGTATATCCTGGTATCATCAAACAAAGCAAAGATCCAACGCGTGTTTTTAATGGCTTTCAGTTCCCTGGAGGGGTGACCACGATGGTATCAGGACTAGCCTGATCAAAGTCGGCCTCCGCCCCTCCGCCGTCCTTTTGCGACTTGTTGGGTGTCTCCGAAGCCTCGCGAATCCTCTCAAGGCGCCACGAAGCCTCGGCCTGCGGCGTTGACGGCACATTATCGCTACCAGTAGTCTTAGCCATCTGTTGCGCTCCTTGTGAGCCATCGCCCTGGACACTGATGCCCTGCAGCGGTGCGGTGTTCTGGTCAGAGCTTTTCAGCGTATCGGGGATGGCCAGGAGTTCTTTCGTCAGGCCGCGGACCCCATCAAAGATGCATTCCGGGGCGTCCCAGGCGACCAAGCCCGGTGTTGCCGATGCCCGCCGCGTGTGGAGGAGGTTGTAAGAGACCCTCGCCCACGCCGGACACGCGTATGAGACTGAGGCCGGACGGGGCGCGACGACTTGCGCTTCAACATCACTCGGCTCAATGGCCGCTTCGCCGGTAAACACCGTCATTGCAATCTTAGGCTTTGTAGCCGGCTTCGGCGGCGCCTCCTCCTTGTGGGCAAGACAGTGAGCCCAGAAGCGCAGTGCGGCCTCGGGGCCGGGAAGCCACGCCGTCTGCGTCAGAGTGACGATCTCTGTTGGTGAGAACTGCTTCTGCGCTCCCGAGACGCGGAGGACCTTGAGCACGAGCGCGAGTAGCCCGACCGGCGAGTCGCAGAGGGCGAAGGATGGCGTGTTTGGCTCCAGCATGTCTGGCGGAGGGGATTTGGAGGCCCGGCCCAAGGAAGCGAAGTCTTCGCGTTGGTAGCCCAGTACCGGGGCGCGGAAGAACTTGGCGATGGACCACTTCATCCACTCCAGGGGCGCTGCTTGTGCAGTTGGTGCCTTGATGGACGGGTTGATGAAGTGGGCGCCTACGCAGCTTTTGGGGTAGTGCGCTGCCAGGTAGCTTGCGATTTTCCAGTCGATTTCTGCGGGACTTGAGTTGGCCGAAGATGTGTTTGTCGCGACGTATGTTGAGTACGAAAGTCTTGTCATAACGGTGTTAAGGACCTCAGCCGTCGCCGAGATGAAGGACGTGTTACTTGGGAGCGCATCGCTAAAGCCAATACCAGGCAGAGAGGGAATCACCACGTGGAAAGGCTGATTATTCTCCGGATCCTCCGGCTCCACGAGAGGCTGAATAAGATGCTGAAGGGAGAGATTGGTGAAGGGGAAAGGAGGAATCAAGAGCAGGGGGACTGCATTGCTGTGAGACGACCTGACGTGGATGAAGTGAGACCGTACGGAAGCCTCGGTGCCCGGGATAAGGACTGCTGTACGGAATTGGGGGAGCTGTGCGTTGAAGAGCCTCTCTTGTTCTCGCCAGTCATACTTTTCAAGCCTGTTTGCGTGCTACTGTTAACAACGCGCTTCTTCTGCCCCAAGAAGAGAAGAGGCAACTCACCAGTAGTCAACGAGCGGCTCGATCCGGGGTTTCGGCTCCCACCAGTCTTGCGACTTGGGTTCTGAAGTCTCATGAGGCAGCCTGGTGAGTTCCAGCTTTTGCTTCGTGAGATCGAGGTATTTGCTTGAAACCTGTGGTACACCGAGTCAGTCACCAAGTCCCCCTCACCTTGCTTAGAATCTCTCACATGAATGCGGTAAGGCCTGATTTCATCACCTGCCAAGACGGCGCTGTTCTCAAGAGGAGTCACCATGATGAGTGGGCATAGTCTTTGGAGACCAAACTCTAATCCTTCTTTCCGTTTTCCAGAAGCAAACAAAATAAACAAAGTCTCCAAAGAGACGGTGAGCAGAGCGAAGAAATGCCAGTGGAAAACAATCAAGGACGGGGCGTATTGAATAAGGGCATCAACCACGTAAGCAACCCAAAGCAATAAGTGTTACCCAACTGGGAATCAACGCCCTGCAAAGTCTCATTGATATCGCCGGGGACTTTAATAAGGTCCGGACCTTCCTCAATCCCAAGCGAGCGCTTCCATGTTCAATGTCCGTTGTGCCGTCGTCCTGGTCGAGTGAAGGCATTGTGGCTGGACTCCTCCCTACGTGTTGGAAGGCCTCTGAGTGGTCGCAGAGGTGGGATAGCAAGTCTAGAACGGGTGCACACCGATAGACATGTGGCGGTGCACACGAATCCCCGTCAATATTCGGAAATGATCACCGCTTTTTGCTGGCTTTGCCAGGTACAGAGTTGCATCAACCAAGCTAAATCTTGGACGGAATTTTGGAGCTAGTGCATCTATTGGCTATGCTTCATCCAAACCCCTGCTCAGTTGGGATGGTAAACTTGCCACATCAGCCACACCCTTTGAGATTCCCATCATTTTCAGATTCCCATCTGAGTGACTCGCGCCTGGTGTCTGTCAGTCGCAGCCGCAGAGAATGTGTGTGATGAAGGCAGTTCAGTGTATGTATTTCTCAGCAGCTTGCTCATGCCTAGGTGTGATAGTCAAACACGCGTCCTTTGCCACATCTGATCCTCCCAACGCCAATTGTAACCTGATCACAAGTCCAGTATCACCCCGGCGCTCTTCCGGGCGTCTCCAGAATCCCCTCTTTCGTCGCATAGTCTTGCTGCAAATCATGCACCACGCTTCCCCTCGAAGACTCGAAGACGAAGAGTTCGAGTCTCCGCATATCCGGTGGTTGTCGTCCCCTCAGGTATCTCTTGTTCTTCATTACCTCCACAAGTCCAATCGTTTGATGTGACAAGCCCTCTGTTCCATTTGCCGCGGCCATGAGTCTTGCGTGTTTGAATTTGTCCGAATCGGTAGACGGCTTGCCTCAAAATGAATATTCCGGCCTCAAGAAGGGCGTTGCGGAGCACCTGGTGCAGCAGCTCCCGGAGCACCGCGAAGGTTCATGGCGCCGATACGGGACACGATGTTGCTTCCCACGGCGTCTACTGCTCCTCTAGGTGAGGTCAAGCTGGGACCTTGTGGAGCTGTCTCTTGGACGCGGAATAGTTTTATTGCTGTCCCGTTCCAGATTCCAACTGTACCCTTAGATACCTGGATCTCGCTGGTGAAGACGAAACCCCAGAGGAGCGATTCGTACCAGCCCAGAGACAACTGTGACCACTCGAACGAATGGACACGAGGCGGTGTTGGATCTACACCCACTAGCCTGATTTCCTGTATCTTTTGCAGCGTCTCTCGGTTCGCGGATTCGCCAGCAAGTGCTTGACGGGGTAGCAGAGCTGACACTTGCTGAATCACAGTGAGCATGGTATGGAGCGGGAGCTCTGGAAGCCAGCTCTCGATCCACTGCGCACTTGGTTCAAAGATGCCGGTCTGTGATTGTCCACTGGTGGAATAGCCGCCGAGACTTGTTGTGCTGTTCTGTCGGGAGAAATTAGGTACGCCAGCGGGCATCTTTCCCCTGGCTTTCTCCGACATTCCGCGGAGTTGCGTAGGAACCGCATCCTCCGCAAATTCGGCTTGGGACGATGTGACGGACGGGTTCTCGCTAGTAGTAGACTGGGCTGGCGTAGGGCGATGATCGTCTTCGTCCTCGTCATCATCGTCATCGCTATCGTCGTCGTCCTCCCCGATCGCGAAAGTTCCATCTTCTTCAGGCACATCGCTGAGGGTGGGTTGCCGAGCTTGCGAAGTCGTCGGGCTGCGGAGGCTTTCAACGGAGCTTCTGACCGAACTTGGTTCCAATCCATCACCGCTGGCCGCAGCCTCCTTGCGGCGACGGTTGCGTCTTTCAATCTCCTCCTGGCCACTCTCAAGCGTAAAAGTACGCAGTGCTTCAATGCGCTTCTTGTTGCGCAGAATCGAGAAGATCAACTCTGGATTCTCTGTTCGGTCGTTAGATAGGTGTGGTTTTGAGGATGCGGGTGCAAAGCTGCATCCTACATCCATAGGGCGGCCAACTTACTTTGGTACTGATGCTCGACGACTGAGTTGATGGACTCCATTAGTGACCTCAGGAGGTCGTGGTTACTATCATTTGCCAGAAGAAACGAGGGGGAAGACATGGAAGAGAACAGCTGCATCAGCTTCGATGCAGATGCCGGACTGAGTGCTTCGAGGTAAGGGGCGATATTGTTGATCACTGCCAACAATGCCGGGTAGATGGCATTCAGTCTGCCTTGACTCGTGGTGATGAGGTTGTAGATTGACTAGCCACAGTTAGCAGAGCTTCATTTCAAGCGCAACAGCATTGCTCACGTGGATCAAGAAGTCGGCGTATGTTCCGCTGAATCCTGGTATTCTGATGGTCAAAGGCAGACTTTCTTGTCGCCCAAAAGTGCGGTTGAGATTGGTGCCAAAGTTCTTTTCCACACTCAGGGTTTGAAGCAAGAAGGCACACATGCGCACGACCCCTTGCTTGGACGGGTCATTCTTGTACTCAAGAGCGTAGAAAAGGG